CTAGGCTTGCTAGGATTAGAAAACTCCAGCCTGGAGAATTCTAGTCAGATATGTTCTCTGTTCTTGAACCCTGTTAAAATGTTTATCAATGACAATGCGTACACAGCGGGACGTGGAAGTTCATTAGTGATTCTAGTTTCACCCTGACCTTGTGATCTCACCCTGACCTTCTGCCTTGCGATCTTTTTTTGCCCTTGAAGCATGTGATCTCTGTGACCCACACCCTATTCGTACACTCCCTTCCTTTTGAAAATTGCTAATAAAAACTTGCTGGTTTTATGGCTTAGGGGGCATCACGGAACCTACCAACATGTGATGTCTTCCCTGGACACCCAGCTTTAAAATTTCTCTCTTTCGTACTCTTTCCCTTTATTTCTCAGACCGGCTGACACTTACGGAAATAGAAAAGAACCTACATGAATTATTTGGGGCAGGTTCCCCTGATACAACGGTTGAAGGAAAAACCTTTGGCCGGGGGAGGTGGCTCACTCCTGTAATCCCAGCACTTTGGGAGGCCAAGGCAGGTGGATCACTTCAGGTCAGGAGTTTGAGACCAGCCTGGCCAACATATTGAAACCCTGTCTCTACTAAAAATATGAAAATGAGCCAGGTGTGGTAGTGGGCACCTGTAATCCCAGCTACTCAGGAGGTTGAGGCAGGAGAATCACTTGAATCTGGGAGGTGGAGATTGCCGTGAGCTGAGATTGAACCACTAGACTCCAGCCTGGGTGACAGAGTAAGACTCTGTCTACCAAAAAAAAAAAAAAAAAAGAAGAAGAAAAGAAAAGAAGAAAGAAAGAAAGGAAAGAAAGAGAAAGAGAGAGAGAGAAAGAGACGGAGGAAGGAAGGGAGGGAGGAAAGGAGGGAGGGAGGGAGGAAGGAAAGAAGGAAGGAAGGAATTTGAAAGCAGTGGGTTGAAGAGTGGGGATTTAAAAAAAAAAAGCATGCCACAGAAAAGCTTTATTAGAGGCTAATACTTTCTGATGAATGAACTATACATCTAGAAATTAGGCCCTGAATTTGTAGGTCATTTGTCGATTGTTCTTAGATATTAAAACCCTAATGTGAATTAGTTTTTCAGATTAGCTAGTTACCCCAAAATAGCAATGTCAATAAGGAAAGAAGAAGTTTGAGGGCATTTCATCTTTTAACCAGACCCTTGCCAAGCTTTGAGAATCTTTTAACCAGACCCTTGCCAAGCTTTGAGAATGGGTGAGAATAAATCATGAAAAGAAGACAAGAGGTAGAAACAAAGGAAAAACATAAAACCAACCAGTTATACACCTTAGCTTGTTCTCTAATTTTGCCCCTTCTAACTATGCCACCCACTCAAAGCCTTTATCCTAAGCTTTTTCCAGTCCTAAGGGTCCTCTCACTTCTGTTACCTTCTCCCTTTACCGTCTTCCCACCAAGAACATCTTCTTATTAACCATCACAATGAATCCGCTTTCTTTTCCAGCACTGATCTCTGTGATCTTCTCCTCCCTATACTGTTGACTGGCTATGGAAGTTAGAACTAGGTTACTGATAACACTGGGAGTTGCTGGCCTGGAAATCCTGAGTTCAGCCCAGTGACAGTCTGTGGCCTGGGATTCCTCCTGGGCCCAAGCAAACAGCAGAAGAACTATTCACTCCACAGCTGTCAGAGGCTTTCTTTTTTTTTTTTTTTTTCTTTTTTGTAAATTCCTGAGAATATTTAAGTTGTTGTGATGGTTAATATTGAGTGTCAACTTGATTGAATTGAAGGATGCAAAGTATTGCTCCTGGGTGTGTCTGTGACGGTGCTGCCAAAGGAGATTAACATCTGGGTCCGTGGACTGGGAAAGGCAAACCCACCCTCAATCTGGGTGGGCACAATCTAATCAGCTGCCAGCACGGCCAGAATAAAAGCAGGCCGAAAAACGTGGAAAGACTAGCCTGGTTTAGTCTTCTGGCCTCCATCCTTCCCCCGTGCTGGATGCTTCCTGCCCTCGAACATTGGACTCCAAGTTCTTCAGCTTTAGGACTCAGACTGCCTTCCTTGCTCCTCCGCTTGCAGACGGCCTATTGTGGGATCTCACCTTGTGATTGTGAGTCAGTACTCCTTAATAAACTCCCTTTTACATATACATCTATCCTATTGGTTCTGTCCCTCTAGAGAACCCTGACTAATACAATTGTGTTACAGGATGGGCTGTGGCCAAAACAAAACAAAGCGAAACAGAACATGGAGTAGGAAGACAGAATAGGGTCTCTGCCTGCCCTCATGGGAACAGGTTTCCCCTTGGTCGTCTACCAGGCACGGTACAAAGGCCATGTGGACTCCCTGGCCTCTGAACAGAATGCAGTGGCACTCCCACGCTGGACACTGAAGTCCAGAGTTATGCAGAGGAAGAAAACCTCTCGAAAGAGAGAAAATTTCCAAATTAAGGTACATTTGAAACACTCGTGGCCATAAATCATAAACTTCAGTATTGAAAAGCCTCATTTGAAATCACATGAGTCATAAAAGGAGTTCTCATATTTAGATAAGGATTATCTGGCTTCTAAGCATCTTCTTTCCCCAATTTCAATCAGTTCTCCACGCTATCACTTTAAAACCAGGTCCAAGTTTTCACCTTTTAGCACCTTCCCTAATTCTAACGATTTTATAAGTTTTCCAAAAATCTATTTGACTTAAGAGCAGAAATGCTACTTTATTTATATGTTGTTTATACTCTCTCCTACTTCTAAAATTACTTTGAGGATCACACCCCACTGAGCGCTGTGGCTTTTTGAATTTGTTAACCCTTTCTTAGATGTTAAGGTATACTTATAGTATAGCAAGTGACATGAAGAAAGGAAACAGCTTGTTGTTGCTGTTGTTTCTAAGGAGGTGAATGAAGCATCAATACATCACCTCAGAATGACAATAAAAGAGCATTCGATGTATATAAGCCTCACATTACAACTTAGCCATACACTGCTAGTGGGTATATAAATAATACAATTTATCTGGAAAGCAATTTGATAGCATGCGTCAGGAGCCTTTACAATGTTCATGTATAGCCTTTAGCCCAGCACATAGATTTTAGAGATCCAGTTTAAGATAAGAAACAAGAAGTTACCCCATTTTTTTTTTAATATAGAAAAGGTGCCTAAGACAACCTAAACCACACAAATAAGGAAATGATTACATAAATTATTGGACATCCACGTGCCATCTGCCTGGTTATGTCCCTAAGGCCACACATAATGCTTGATACATGCTAAGATCTCAGGAAATATTTAATAAATTTATGATCAAATGAAATAAAATGTAGCTAGGAAAATGTTTTCAAAGAATATTAAAGTGTATGAGGAAATAAGTATGATTCTATCTTGAAAAATCGTAAAAAGATTGAAAGGAAATATACTAATGTTGACAAAGGTCAACTCTAATTGATTTGAGTAATTTTTTCTTATTAACATTTCCACTCTGGAAATTGTTCTTATGTCCTGAATGAATGGACATGATCTGTATTTCAAAGTCAGCTAATCTGTGATTTATTTCAAATCAATTCAGTTATACTTATGTAATTTATGTACATAAGCTTATGTAACTCCATTCACACAGTACCTTCAGGAAAAATATATTATAGAGATTAATTCTCAGTCTTTTACCACATCAGACAACTGAATTAAGGCTATTTTAGCACCCACTCCCTTCAAAGAATCATGAAAGATATCCATTAATCTTCAAAATGCCTTACATAATTAGGAAAATGAAAACTTTCTGATTTTCCATTCACAAAATAAACATTTACTTACTCATATTGATCTAAGTTGTTTGATTTCTTTCCCGTTACATAATTACTTGGGATATATCCTTCATTCCTAGAAATAAGAAAAGTACTTTAGATAAACTAAGATTACTTTACTGGGAGGTTATTAAAAGAAAGAACGATTATTGCCTTTTGAAATAAAGCATAATATTGCTTAAAGCTTATAAGAAAGACTAGCTGACCCCTCAAAATTCAGTATCTGTAATTCATCTGACATTTTACAAAGTACTTTCACTTTTGGTGCCCACAAAAATTCTAGGTTAGGCAAACATTATCGTACACATTTTCCGGTGGGGAAACTAAAGCTTAGAAAGATTATGGGATTTTTTTTCCCAAGGTCCTAAAGTTAGCCAGCAACAGGGCCAGAACTCGAACTCTGGACTTGTGACTAGGTCCTGTGCTCCTCCAACATTCCACAATACTTCTCCAGAATTCACAGTTTTGGTGATATGTGTTAAAGAAACCACTAATTCAGAAAAGTCAAAGTGTTGGATTAAAAACACCCACCACTCTAATACCTCAATAGTTCTTATAGAATAGTTTCACAAAGGGTAACTCCTGGCCTTTCGGTCATTATCACTTGGGGCACTTGTTAAAACAGCAAATACTTGGGTCATAACCCAATCAACGTGAATTGAGAAGACCTATGTCAGGTCAAAAAAGGTCCAATTTTACCCCAAATGACTTTTACACACATCACAATTGAAGATGCACTCTCAGGTCAGTAGGAGCTCAGGTTTTCAGCATAAGAAAAGAGATACACATATAAAATTTAAAAATTGAGTAGAAACCTTATAATCTTAAATTTGAATTTAAAGTATTAGTAAGAACTCATAATACACACACACACACACACACGTGTACATATAGGTAGCTCCGTTGCACTGAGAAAGGCCTGGAAGGAATGGCAATCCAGCAGCAATTAGAATCTTAGCATCACCACTGTCCCTATATATCATTTGTAACTAAAAGGAGCCAGTCCTCCTTAGAAAAATGTCAAATTGTGTCCAGGTGCGGTGGCTCACACCTGTAATCCTAGCACTTTGGGAGGCCAAGGCAGACAGATTACTTGAGGCCAGGAATTCGAGACCAGCCTGGCCAACATGGCGAAACCCTGTCTCTACTAAAAAATACAAAAATTAGCCGGGCATGGTGGAACATGCCTATAATCCCAGCTACTTCAGAGGCCAAGGCACAAGAATCACTTGAACCTGGGAGGCGGAGGTTGAAGTGAGCCGAGATTGCGCCACTGCACTCCAGCCTGGGAGACAGAACGAGACTCCATCATCGAGACCATCCTGGCTAACACAGTGAAACCCCGTCTCTACTAAAAACACAAAAAACTAGCTGGGCGAGGTGGCGGGCGCCTGTAGTCCGAGCTACTCAGGAGGCTGAGGCAGGAGAATGGCGTAAACCCAGAAGGCGGAGCTTGCAGTGAGCTGAAATCGCGCAACTGCACTCCAGCCTGGGGGACAGAGCAAGACTCCATCTCAAAAAAAAAAAAAGAAAAGAAAAGAAAAGAAAAAAAAAAGAAAATAAAAATGTAAAATTGTAAGTTTGGCCCCCCAAAAAAATACAAGATAACTTGAGTCATTTCATTGAGCCAGAAAGTAGGAAAGAAAAACTAACAGCGTCCTCTACCAAAAACAGCTACCATCGACCTAAAATTGGCCAATTCAAGCAAAAAGAATAATGGTGGCAATGGATTGGAACCAAATATATAAGTATCCATAATAACACTAAAAATAAACTGTTGGTTATCATTGTTATTACAAGAGAAAGCTCAGTCATCAACTCATTATTCGGAAAATCAGTAAAAGTTTAAGAATCCAAATTTCATCTTTCCTTTCCTTCAGGAACTACATGAATTGGTAGATGAGGCAGTTCTTCTTTAGAGAACTAGTAAATGCAGATGGAATGACAAAATTAGGAAATCACCATTTTGTAATCCCTAATGAAATAATGACTCTAAGAAAGAATCATTAATGAACTCCCAAATCATAGGGTAAACACCGATGAAGAACTTTATGACAGAGGAACAAGGCTGACACCTGAACCACTAAGCAATCTTAGCATTATTAAAAGTAGGACAGCCAGATATCACCTTCTAATGTGATCAAGCCTCTAGCTCTACTTGCCAGTTCATAAGAAATACAAGAAACACAGGTATATTAAGTGACAGCACAAGAAAACAATACATTTAATCTAGATTATGGCTCATTTTAGTGTTAAATGACCTCCTTTCATCAATAAATCAAAAATGTAGAATAAGAGAAACATAAGAGATATATTAACCAAAATGCAGTGTGTGGGTCCTGATTTGAACAAATCAACCGTAAAAATAAGTATTAGCACTAATCAGGGGAAACTGGAGTTACATCATTGGTTCCATCCTTACACGTGGGCCAGAGAAGCTCTTGCTCCGACCCCACACTTTTGAGAGCTCTGTGAAAGTGCATATTCCCTCTGACCTACGTTCCCATGCTCCTTTCTGGGTAACTAGGACCCCAGAATTCCCTGCTCATTTCCAAGGCCTACATGAGCCTTCTACTGGGTCCATCTTCCAAAAAACAAATTGTGCTGGCTGGCCATGTGCATTCCCTTTCACTGGGGCCGAAGGTGTGGCCATGATGGGGGATAGCTTTTGCAGGCCACGTGGTAAGAGTGTGGGTTTACAGGTTGGAAGATCCATATGGTACACAAGAGATAGAGCCAGGGCAGGAGGTAAGAAAGAAGAGAGGTAGCCCCCAGAGCCAGCTTTCCATGCACTACAACATTCTGGCACAGAGTTCTAAATCCAAACCATGCTTTTCTTGTCACTATGAAAGGGTATTTGTCAAGTTGGAGGATAAAGTTTGTTAGCTTGATTTATAATTTTTAAATACTTACATATATGTTATGTGGATTTTCATTTGTACTATTCCTCCAGGTCCAAAAATATTAAGGGAACGTCAACAGATGATCTTATTTAAAATACTATGATTAAGAATGATAATGACGAAACTATTCACAATAGCAAAGACTTGGAACCAACCCAAATGTCCATCAGTGACAGAATGGATTAAGAAAATGTGGCACATATACACCATGGAATACTATGTAGCCATAAAAAAGGATGAGTTCATGTCCTTTGTAGGGACATGGGTGAAGCTGGAAACCATCATTCCCAGCAAACTATCGCAAGAACAGAAAACCAAACACCACATGTTTTCACTCATAGGTGGGAATCGAATAATGGAACACTTGGACACAGGAAGGGGAACATCACACACCGGGGCCTGTCGTGGGGAGGGGGGAAGGGGGATGGATAGCATTAGGAGATATACCTAATGTAAATGACGAGTTCAATGGGTGCAGCACACCAACATGGCACATGTATACATATGTAACAAAACTGCATGTAGTGCACATGTACCCTAGAACATAAAGTATAATTTTAAAAAAAGACCAAAACACTTCTAATATTAAACATGGAAACAAATGTGAGCTATACATATGTATAAGAAAGATTAATAAAAATAAATAAGATAACTAAAAAATAAATAAATAACATTTACGAGGAAAAAAATGATAATGACATGGTGGTTTGTTTGTGTTTTTTTTTTTAAGTCTTTAGGATTTAGATTTAGGAGTGAAATAACATGATGACTTGAATTTACTTTTAAATATTCTAGAAAAAAAGGAAGGATTTAGACTGGCAAAATGTTGGTAATTTTCGAAGTCAAGCAACAAGAGATTCCATTATACCATTACATACTTTTTGGACGTCTGAAAATTTCTACAACAAAAAAAATTAAAAATAGAAATCAATCTTACACAGCATCTGATAAAGAGAAGCAGTGACAACCTTCTTGTAAACATGGAATAAAAGGTTAAGAGTTGCAAATAAGTTAATAATGCACAGCAAAACAGCACTAAGATATGCACCATGCCTAGGAATCAAGCAGAAGAGAAGGATCCTGCCTAAACTAGAAGTTTCCACTGCTTCTCCAGAAGTGAAATGAGGAACAGCGACTTGAAATTGGGAATGGGGCTGGGACGTGAGAAGGCAGGTGGAAGAAGAGTGTGCTCTGGCAAGACAAAAAGTTCTCCTCTTCTCATCCACTGGAACTCAGAGTATAAGTGGGATTGTACTGCAGAGGTAAACACAGGATACAGAGTTTGCTTATGAAGCCTGCAAGATACTCATACCCTATAGTTACCTCTATCTGCCCATACATTTATCAATGATAGGGTTGAAAGGACTGTTTTCTTTAAATCCTAAATTATCTTGTACAAAAAAAAGGTTGCTGTTTAATTTCCTGCATGTACATATATATATATTATATATATACACACACACAAACACATGCACACACACACACACACATACATATATATATATTCTTTTACTCCTCCATATATTCATGGAGACAGAGAGAGAGAAAAAAGTGAGAAGAGGCTTCATTACACTGTGTATGTGTATGCATACACACACACACATACACATGTGTACATATATAGAGAGAAAAAGTCGAAGAAAAAAATTACAATAAACTATTTCTTAGAAAGATCTAAGGTTACTTACTTATGGCAGGTGGGGACAAAATATAAAATTTAATTTCCCTCAAGGTCAAAATAATCAAATTAAACATGTATCAGATGAGAAAGAGACCAATGTATTCTAACTTTTGAAAAGAAGTGATTGCTCAATTTGCATTTATTGAGTGACCACGAAGAAAGGACTGTGTTACTATAAAGTAATAAGGTGTGCTTCCATTTATGGTCGGTGGAATTAGTCTCATTACACGATAGTTACGACTCATCTTCTTCTCACTCAACACTTGACTCCCACCCACCCACTGCATGTCACACACAGAGAGGGAATACTTACCCATATTTATCTCTTGCTCTCCACCAATGAACATCATTCTTTTCTAAAATGAGATATTCTTGGCCTCTCTCTAATCTGAGATCATGTCCTTCTGTCGCTTGGAAATCATACATGGCTACAACGATTTCTTCACTATTATCTTCTTCCAGTGGAATTGGTGGGGGAGGCCTTCGCTAAACAAGGAAGATAACATTTGAAAGTTTAGTCTTCTATATGAAATTGATCATGAATCAAAATGCTAAATGAGTCATACTTCACCACAGAATAAAGTAGAAACCTCAAGTCTACTTACTATAATCCAACAAACTCTCATGGAGAAGAGTATTGTAATTCCTGTTTCATAACTAAGGTAAAATGATTTAAGTAACCCACTCAAAGTCACTCATATCAGATCAGGTCTTGACTGGGTCCAAAGTGCATGTTTTCTCCACTATACCCCACTCCTGAAAGGCATATCATAATATCAGTGAAGTCACTTCTTTGTCACACTGTGGTCTTAAGACTGAAATATTTCTCTAAAGTCCCACTCCTCTTTATATAACTCTTTAAGTGAAAATAGAGGCAAAATGCCAGATGATAACAGGATCTCCAATGGTAAAATCTCATACAATTAAATTGGTATTATTTGACACTACAAGAAATTGAAATAAGCTATAGCACATCTGTTTCTGAGATGGTCCTAGGGGAAAATTGTGTCACATCAATGAATAAACCCCATACTCAATAAGCCACAAACACTATCAAAACTTAAGACATAAAGAATTAAAATGTAGATATTTCGAGCAAGATGGCCGAATAGGAACAGCTCCAGTCTCCAACTCCCAGCGCGAGCGACACAGAAGACTGGTGATTTCTGCATTTTCAACTGAGGTACTGGGTTCATCTCACTGGGGAGTGCCAGATGATCAGTGCTGGTCAGCTGCTGCAGCCCGACCAG